CATCGACATAATCCTCCACTATGCGATGCAACATATTATGGAAGATGGCAGTCATAGGTCTCTGATACGTAGCGCCTGCATTTTTTAGCTTGAAAGGCATGACAGTGTAGTGGAAATTGCCAAGCGACGTTTAAAATGCGATTTTGTGGGCATCCTCCTTAGCCATTCGTATCTGATTGTAGCCACTGTAGCCATCCAAAAAGGAAAAAAGAGAATGCCCCGCCGTTGCGTCAACCAATGTATCAATGATTGGGAGGGGGAAAATCATCTTTTAAGCATGCTTTGTTGAGATCGTGAAAATCAACACAAACACGGATTTGCCCACTCTTCTTTTTTACAGGAACGATGTTCGCTAACCAAGTAGGATGTAGGATCGGTCTAATGAAGCCTACGAGAAATAAGTTCTCAACCTCTACTTTGATCTAAAACTCGAGCTCTGAACGGTAAACCCGAGGTGCTTGCTTAACAGGGCGCGAGTCCGGCATGGTACTAAGATGATGTGTTACGAGCTGGGGGTCTAACCCTGGCGTCTCGCTGTAAGTCCAAGCAAAGATGTCTGAAAATTCTTTCAAAAAACAAATGGGACTATCTCGTAATGACAGGTCCAGTTGCGAGGAGATGAAAGTGGTTCATGGTTCTTGCCCAGTGGGGGCAAAGTTGATTTCTTCGAGGTCTGGAAGCTGCAGTGACTCCGCTTCTATAGGTATGGGCTCAACAACTAGGCTAGCTGAAGCTGAGCCCGTACACCATCATAAATAGTAGACATATCGCCCATCCGGCAGCCAAACCCGCTTACATTCTCGAGGGGTAGTGGCCTCTGTGCTGCGGCGAGGGACGTATGGTTGTGGAGGGTAGAAGATGCCTTGCTGTATTTCTTCCCACTTGGGCAGCGGGGTGCAAATGATATTCGCTTCTCCTTCTTCATCCTCATCGTCCAACTCATCAAAGAAGAACGCCTCAGTAAAATGGGTTTCATGCTTAGCAAAGGGCTTATCTGAGCATGGGACCATGATGACTTTGTTGTCCAAAATGCCTTTGAAACACTGGTGATAAGTTGAGGCTATTATGTCAAAGTGGTGCATCCATGCCTGCCCGAGTAGCACATGGTACGAGGTGTCAGCCTTAATGACATGGAACTTGGTAAGAGCCCGAAACTTGTTGACTGCCAGATCGACATTCACATAACCGAGAGTCTGGTGGGACTTATTACCGAACCCATACACCTCTATAGCTTTCTTGATAAGGCGATCATGGGGCAGACCAACTTTCAGGAAGGTTGTCCAATGCATGACATTAATGGAAGATCCATTGTCTAGAAAGACACGTTGAAACTCTATACCATTGACATATGCGGTGACATAAAGAGGACGATTCTAAGGAGTATATACTCTCTTATCAGATTCGGAGAAGGAAATGGTCAATGGGGTTTGTCAGGAAGTGGTCTAGCTTGATGAAGCTGCGACATAGCACTCGCCCTCGCGCTGCTCTATTTGAGTCTGTGGATGCGAGGGATTGGTTTCCTCGATCTCATCATAGTAGGTGATTGTGGCCACACCGTGGTGGCGAGGGTAAGGATTGCGCCTTACATCCTTAAGCACGGTTACCTCAAGGTCACCTCCTTCGAGTCGTTACTCAAAGATTCGCCTCAGCGTTCGGCAAATGCTTATTGGATGTGTGGTGGCTTGGTGGAAGATGCAGAAATTAGGACTGGCGCGATCTTGCGCGATTGGCTCCTTGTGAGGGATGGGCATTGCGACTACACCATGTTTAACCCATTGCTCGAGGGTGTTAGCAACCTTCTCCATGCGAACTGGGAATGGGGTAGGATCATTGGCTCACTCTGTGCGAAGTCCCTTAGCCCTGATATCTACTTCGCGATGCTTCTTGGTTCTATCACTGCGAGAAGTGACTGGTGCCTCTTTGCGAATAGCCTGTCTAGCGGCTTTTACTTTGGAAGGGGCAAGGTCTTTGCAGATATTCCGTACAGCTGTGGTGAGGTCACTGAAGCTATTGAGTCCCAAATTGACCAGGTGTACCCTGTAAGCTTTGTTCATGCTTTGTATGCAGATGTCAACCAGATCTCTCTCACTGTTACTTTCAAAACATTTCCTCGCACGGACTTGGAACCGGTAGATGAACTTAAGTGGCTCTTCGTGGGGCTTCTGTATTTCTTTGGTAAGGGAAAGGGTAGTGACCCGTTCGATGGCCTGGCCAAACTTGGCATGGAATTTCTGGGAAAGCTGTTGCCACGTGGTAATCGAGTTTGGCTCTAGACTCCTAAACCACCTATAAGCGAGTCCCGTGAGAGACTTGGAAAATTCTCTGAGGCGCAGCACCTCGTCGTGGCTGTGTTGGCCTAGAGACTTTATAAATCTTTGCAGATGCTCATCAGCATCCCCCTTCACAACGTTATACTTGGGAAATTTTGGAATGATGTACCCTTGTGGGTACAGAGTCTGAGGAAGGCTTTTTGGGTACAGCGGCTCGGTGCGTCATACCAACGCGCGTGTGGTAGACGGGGCATGCTTCATGAAAAAATCCCGTAACATGGATTCAGTAATGTACTCCGGAGAAGGATTGACCAGAGGCGCAGCTTGCGCTGGGGTAGGCCTTAGGGCTTCCTGAGCCTGCGTTGGTGGGTACCACAGTGGCGGTACGTGAGTGGATGAACTGACTGATTGGTCGTGTTCAGGCAGGGTTACTCTGGCGGGAGAGGCGGTTCTGGCTTATGCGTTTTCCATGATCAGGGCTTCTAGTCTGTCAAGGCGATCATTAAAATCACGGTTGGACTACAACAACTCTCCATAGACGGAAGGGACTGCTGAGCTCTCCGGCAGTGTGATGTGAGGTGCACGAGCATTGGAAGCATGCGATGGCGCCTAAGACTAAAGGTGAGCGTCACCACCTCCCCCAACAGAGGGTTCCGAATGATGAGTCGGCATATCCTGTGAATCCATCTGCTTATACTGATATCCCCAGTGGAGTCACCAAAATATAGGGGGTCTTTTTGATCAAGCAATAAATGAGTATACAATAGTGATATCAGAAATACAAATATGAAGGAAACAGAAGAGATGCTCAGTGTAAGAGGAGGAGAAGAAGACCAATCATCAAGATTAAGATCGTGGTAGGGCAAGTATACAGTATCTTATGATAGCTTCCCCTTTGGTTGGTTATTCCTTCCTGGGATAGTACTATTTATAGGCCCGGATTCCATTGGTTGTTATCCAATGGTCCCTTCCGTGCATGGTTTCTCGCATGCATTGCTCCTAGTCAGGATTACGTGGGTAATCCTAGAGGTTTAGGAGTCTGAAGGGTCTAATCCTCCCATCGAGCCTTACACTATGTTGCCATGTCATTTCTCCCTTAATCAAGGGCATTAAATGTTGCTTGGCCGCCAGTTGGTTAAGCCTGACACAGCATTAAATGTGATTTTAAGGTTTGCTGTCATAATGTATATAATCCTATCATCTTATTAATTGGACCTTACTGAAAACGAAGACACTTATTGATTTCTCATCCACCAATCCAAGATCCTCCTAAGCTTCCCAAAATTAGATTCCTTACAGCTGCGAAGACCCTACCTTCGTTTCGTGCTATATATGAATCTATAGCATCCGGATGGTGAGCCCTCTAGGGCTTCAATCTTTTGATGCAATATTGCCTAGCATAATGCCAAGTCTTGGGATACTCAAGGGTTGGTCCCTCAAGACTTGATATGCCTGAAGCGGTACCAGGGTTTGAGGTGCTCGATAGTTGGCTCTTCAAGACTTGATGGGCTTGGAATGATACCAGGGCTTGGGGTGCTCAAGGGTTGGTCCCTCGAGGCTGAATGGGCTTGGAGCAATGCCAGGGCTTAAGGTGCTCGGGAGTTGGTTCCCCGAGGCTTGATGGGCCTAGAGTGATATCAGGACTTGGGGTGCTCGAGGGTTGATCTCTCGAGGCTGAATGGGCCTGAAGCGATGCCAGGGTTTAAAGTGCTAGGGAGTTGCTCCCTCGAGGCTTGATGGGGCTAGAGTGATGCCATGGCTTAGGGTGCTCGGGAGTTGCTCCCTCGAGGCTTGATGGGCCTGGAGCGACGCTAGGGCTTAAGGTGCTCGGGAGTTGTTCCCTCAAGGCTTGATAGGCCTAGAGCGATTGATGTCAGGGCTTAAGATGCTCGAGGGTTGATCCGTCGAAACTTGATGGGCCTGAGGCGATACCAGAGCTTAATGCGTTCGAGGGTTAGACCCTCGAGGCTGTAGGCCTAGAGCGATGTCAGGGCTTAATGTGCTCGAGGGTTGGTCCTTCGAAACTTTTGACTTTTCAAATTACCACGGGAGATTTGGTTAGGGTCGTATTGACTTATCAACTTGCCATGTCAACCCTTATTAAGTGACATCCACAAACATGATAAGTGTGTGATCAATGCCTGCATTAGATTATTTTTTTGGGTAAGTAAAATAGTAAATTGCATGGCCAAAGGTTGAAACCCTACCAAAGTGTGCGGAAACCAAAGCACCTAACCTGATCTGCGTCATAATTTCACAACACTGTGTGTCTAAAATTAACGTAAAAGCAAATTTCAGTCTGATACAAGGGATTTCGTTCTTATTCTTCTTCTTGTTTTTTTTCTCTTTCTCCCATCTTCTTTTTATGTATATATATATCTTTTCTTAATTTTCTTTTTTCTTTTTAAAGAACTAAAATAGAATTCTACTTTATAAAAGGGAAAGGTGTGATATAAATATTTATATATATTTATAATAAAGTAACCTGCGATTGCTTGGAATTGCAGTTTGCTACAGAAAAGTATGTTATGAGTATAATGTGATTGCTTGCTTTATACGTAAAACATATATCCAGTGTAGATATTTCTTGGAACCGTGTAATTCCTTGCTTGAGAAAGTATACATCCTATGTTTAAAGTCTTGGAAGTTAGAACAGAAGTCTAATAATAAGTTATTATTTTATTATCTAATATATAAATATGTATATATATTTATATAATGTTTTGATTGGTCTCACTGGACTTCAAATAACAACAGAAGTCTAAAATATCTACTAGCTAGTGTTTACATTGTCTCTCCTATATATATATATACGTGTGTGTGTGTAAGTGGGAGAGGAGGAAGAAGAGTGATTGGCTTACCAACCAAAAGAAGAAATGGATTCTGGAGGAAGCACAACATCACCATCTGAGGAAGAAATAAAGAAAAACTTGTTCAAAAGTGCCATGGGAGGCGATTGGGAAGATGTGGTGAATTTGTACAAGAATCACCCAGAGGTTCACAAGTCCAAGATCACTAGATCAGGGGACACTGCGTTGCACATAGCGATCTCGGATGGCAAAGAACATATTGTTGAACAACTAGTGAAGCTCATGAGTTCCAAAGAGGCTCTGAATGTGAAAAATGAGAGAGGGAATACCCCTCTCCATTTTGCAGCATCATTGGGACAAGCAAGGATGTGCGAGCGCATAGCAACTAAAGACTCAAAACTAATCGGTGTTCGCAACAATGACAGCGAGACTCCTTTCTTCTTGGCCGCTCTCCATGGTAACAAAGATGCTTTTCTTCTTCTCCATTCTATATGTGGCAGTATCGAACAAGGCTACTTAAATTGTAGAAGGAATGATGGTGAAACTGTTCTTCACGTTGCAATCTATGGAGACCATTTTGGTGAGTTAATTAGCTTTAATTTATTAATTCTCACATACACACCTAGTACTATATATATATATATATATATTTTATTGACAATTTATTAATATATTAATTTATGAATTGAGCTACGTACAGATTTGGCATTTCAAATAATTCATAGATACAAAAAGCTTGTGAACTACGTGAATGAACAAGGATTTTCCCCTCTCCATCTTCTTGCCAGCAAGCCTTCTGCCTTTAGGAGTGGGAGTCATCTTGTAAGGCTTTACCGGATTATTTATCATTGTAAGTCTTGATTGTTTAATTTGTTTGATCACTTTTTCATTTCAGTTCTATCATACTATATATATATTTGGACATACTTGGAATATATATAGAATTATATATATAGAGAACAACCTTTAATAATTTATTAATTAACATGATATATTTATATCTACTGTTATTTAATTTGAAAATTAAGGTATATTTGTTGATGAACTCACGGTGGATACTGCCTATGACCAACCTAATGATTCATCGAAGCCTTCTGAAGACGCAAAGAGTCCAACCCATCCAAAAAACAATACTACCTATCCAGAGAACTACAATACCTGCATCAACTTCTTTCAACTAGTGTCCAAGATATATCGTGTACTCATGGGTATGTATTGGTATTTTATTATTTATTTTTTTTGGCAATCAAATATTCTAGAAATTTTGCTGAAACTGAGCAAATTTTTTTTTTCTTCAGTTAGTGGTAGAAAAGGTTGGCATTGCTTTAACTTTCAAAAAAAGACAAAAGAGACTGATGAGGAAGCATATGCCAAAACACAAGATAATTCGAACCAACAAGGTGAGCTTTTCTAAATTAGAACCACATGCGATCACATCCTCTTTAATAAGGTTTGGATTTAAAAATGGTAATTAATTAAGGTCATTTTAGTGTTTCTGACTTAGATCTCTTTAATGGCAGTCAGTTTAATTTCATGTTCCTAGCTAACTAACTCTCTTTAATTTTTATATTTATATTTAATAGTATAAACTAACTAAGATACACATATTGTGGAACTCAAGCATTAATTCTTTTATAATGAAGTTCAGCAAGTTATATATTATATATGCAGGATCAAGTAATCAAACTGATCACGGACATCAACTGTTTCCTGTTAATTACGACACTTGCTTTGATACCATCAAGTTCATATCAAAAGCAACGATGATCATTCTCGGAATGGGTATGTACCTACAATATCATGTTGATATCAATGTACAATTAATCTTTCATTTGGCCTAATTATCTAACATGTCAGCATATAGTACGTACAGTAATTTACTCAATTGTTCAAATTATGTTATTTGTTGCATGTGGTACGTGCCAAATAAGGGTCTAGAGAAATAAGGAAGATACAGGAGAAAAAAGAGAAGCACACATGGTCCGTCCAGATCATGAATGAACTTCTCCAACGTGCCTGTACATATGAGTATGATGACAATGGACAGAAACCCCTAAATTTGTCATCATCCAAACATGGCGAAACAACACCCTATGCATTCGTTGATGGAGGCAATATTGGCTTCAGTACTGGCAGCATTGACTCACCGGAGCAGATGACACCACAGATGCAAACGGACAACGAAGCTAACCAAAGCCAGGGAGGGGAAAGTAATGATCAGAAAAATGGGGATGGTATATATTTATTCTCTCTTTTTTTTAAGCGGTGCAATAGAAATTAAGGACATTAATTAATTTCCATGCCAATAATTGTATTGCACGCATGCTTATATGATCCACTGGCACTGCACAACTTAATTTACCATACAATAATTGTTTGAATATTAAGAAATATAGTTTTGAATGAATCATGATTCATTACCGTATATATTAATTTAGTAGTATATAGGCTGTTGAAGATGATGATGATATATATATGCTTGTGATGCAAAACTTTTGATTAATATTGTGTTGCATATATTGTGTTACACTTACCTAAAAAAAAAAATATTGTGTTGCGCGCATATATATATATATATATATAGCCACAGGTGGTCAAAAAAAGAATGGTGGGGGGAAGAGGGAGACAGCCTTATTGGTTGCGGCAAAGAATGGCATAACAGAAATGGTGGAGAAAATACTTGAACTCTTTCCAGTGGCCATCCACGATATAAATACCGAAAAAAAGAATATAGTTCTTCTGGCAGTGGAGAACAGACAACCACATGTATATCAGCTCTTACTCGGCAGGAAAATCATGAGAGAGAGCGTATTTCGGAAGGTGGACAATGATGGCAATAGTGCATTGCATCTTGCAGCAAAGCTAGGAGATCATCGCCCTTGGCGTATTCCTGGTGCTGCATTACAAATGCAGTGGGAGATCAAGTGGTATGAGGTATGTAATTAATTTTACACGTGCGCGCGCGATCTCTGCTTTAATTTTAGGGCAAATTTCTGTAAACCCTCAGTATTTTCAAAAAGTGATCATAAAACCTCAGCCAGTTTTTTAAATCCCCAACAATATAATAACGTTATTATTTTACTCCAACTCTCAATTGGATGTTAAGGGTATTTGAAATTACAATATTACCCTCTTTGACTTTTGGCATTCAATTGTTCACAACTCTGTCTCTTTTCGGTACCTCTCGCCGAAAAATGCTACAGAACCGTCATAAATCCGCCACAAATCCTTTTTCTCTCTCTTGTTTTTTTCATGTAAAAACACAAACTAAAGAAATAATTTTTGTTTGCAAAACCACTTTTTCCCTATTTTCTATCTAATCTTCATAATTAAAAATTTTCCTGTCCATTTTCTTTCATTTTCTCGCCCACCTTTTTGTTTTATAAATCAACCTATTTGCAACCTCAAAAACCTCTTCCTCTTCTCTTCTCCCCCTCCCCTGTAGATCTTGTTTTTCCAAGTTCTGTTGCCTCTCTCTCTTTCTAGATTTTTTGTTTTCTTTGGTTGATTTTGCTATTTTGGGCTCTGATTTTGGGATTTTGAAATCAATAACAATAAACCCAGTTGATTATTGTGCAAAAATCAACAAAAAAATATATATAGTTTTTATTGTTGAGATCTATGGTTAATTCTTTCTCTGGAAAAGAAAGAACCCATTTTCTCTACCTCTCTAAATCTTGATGCTTGTTCTTCATCTCTTGTTATTGATGTTTGAGATTCATGTCTCCTGTTCTCAGATTCAGAACTCTGGTTCTGAAGAGGACTTGCAGCATGTGATGGATCAATGGAAGAGGAAGAGAATGCAATTGAATCGCGAACAAATTATTCCCTTGTTCTCGATTCAAATTCCAAACCGCAGAAGCTATATGAGACCACCACCGGTAGAGTGTTTTCTCTCTCTACATGAGATCTGCAAGTTTGTTCCAGAAAGCTACATGAGATCTGCAAGTTTTTTTCCAGAAGCTACATGAGATCTGCAAGTGTTTTTCCAGAAAGCCATCGATTATTAGAGGGAGAGTGTTTTCTCTCTCTACACGTGTGGGTTTAACACATTTAAAACGATGAACATAGTAATTCAACTTCACTGCATCATCAACCAATTTGCACCTTTTTCATATCATATTAGATTTTACTTTCTAAAAGGAAAACCATTGCAACCACATCACATCATGTCTATTTTTGTCTTTTCATCATCACCTCCGTCCCATTTCCTTCTTCCTTACTGTACAAGCCCTCTCTCTCTCTCTCTCCATGTGATGATGATGATCACTTCTACAGTTCTACTCTTCCTTCCTAAAAAGTAAACTGGAAAAAACTAAAAATTTGAAAAAAGCTACTACCAGTTAAGAAGTCAAAGAGAACTTCATGAAATCTTCAGCTGGAGGAGAGAAGATAAACTAAAACATGACACTGTGAGTGTTTTTACTATTACAAGTTTGGGGGTATTTTCGGTATAACACATTTAAATACACATCACTTGTTTGGCACATATGACAGCAGGGGTATTTTCGTCACAAAAGTCAATTTGTCAAAGCATTTGTTAACCACGCGCTAAGTTAACGGGATCAATTGACAGAGTTGGGGTAAAATGATAACGTTATTATATTGTGGGGGGTTTTTAAAACTGGTTGGGGTTTTATGATCACTTTTTGAAAATATTGGGGGTTTATAAAAATTTGTCCTTAATTTTAAGAGGAGTGTTAACGGCAGTCGCGCAAGTGACTGTCCATTCACAGTCGCCATTTGGATTGGTTAGATTTAAATGCATTAATTAATTTGAATTTCTATTTTTATAAGACTCTACTAACATTACTTGTTATACCGATAGAAAATAAATAGGCACTCAAAATAAGGACATGTTCGAGCAGACAAAAATACCCTTTTAAATTATGATTTTCTTCTTATCTCATCTTTTAATTGTAATTGATTCATATGGAGATGTGTGTGTATGTATGAGGAGGCTAGAAGTGACATGGGCCGGATATGACCCGCGAACACGACATCCGGTCCGTGCAGATGGGTCAAGCCCATAGAGAAATACTACCATATGGGCCGAACGCGAATAGCCCATCAAAGATGACCAAAACTCACAGAGGAACGGGCCCAGATCTAGCAGTCCATTAATGTTTGTAAGTATCTATAAATAGGAGGAGTAATGGATGGAGGAGGGGGATTTTTTCTGTTGAATGTAAGAGTTCTAGAGAGAGAAAGAAAAAATGAATTTCTTGCATCTTCAATTGGCGCCGTCTGTGGGAAGCGTTGAAGATTGATTGATCATTGATCAATATCGCATGGATTCAGACCAATTCGTGGACACGAAACTCGATCTTTGGGAGTTGGATCCAGATCTGAGCGATTATGACCTACTCTGGAGGAATTTTAGTTCCTGTTGCTTTGGTGGAAGTGGCTTCAGATCTACGCAACAACGAGTTGTTCGATTATGGCCGGATCTGACGGATTTAGAATTCGGACAATTCAGATCTCGTCAACCGTAAGCATAATTCGGAGAATTCGAAACCAGATCTGAAAAATTCGCACTCACGAAGCTCAGATCTACTCACGAACTTGAGATTAATGCCTTTACTCCGTTCAGGAATAATGATAGGTGAAAGCTCCAATTCGATGGAGGCTGTCCAGCAAACGAAGCTTGAGGAGTTGATGAACTTGATCGAAGCTCTCAAAAAAGAGAATGCAGAATTGAAAGCTGGAATGCAACATCAGCAAATACCCGCGGTTTCGCGTCCACTTCCGGCCGGTGAAGGAGGTATTCAATCTAATATCGCACATCAAGGCGAGCAGGACGAGAATAATCAGTCAGCTCTCCACCGTGATGAAAGGAGGATGGACGATTTGCCGCCAAATGTTCGTCGAGTTGAGGATCGCGAAGGATCGACTCACGTTGATCCGCGACATGAGCAGATCAGATAGAATGAAGCCATGACCTTTGATCCGCATCGGGAAAGGTTCAACCGAGAGGAAGTGATAGAGGTTGATCGTCGCCGAGTTGTGTCGCCTTGGCAAAGAGAGCTCATTGAGGAACGGTCGTTCGATCCGTCTTACCGGCCCTCCATGGTTACAATCACTTATCGCGGTTCGGAGAGCAGAACCGTAGCTCACAGAGCTACCGCTGGGCTCCAAAGAGAGAATGAAGCACTCCGATCCGCGGCTCGGACGGTTGATTCACCATTCACTGACGAGATCCTGAATGCTCCGCATCCAAGGAAGTTTGCTATACCAGTCTTTATTCTGTTTGACGGAACAACCGATCCGATCGATCATGTGTACCATATTCAGTTGAAGATGGCCCTAAATACGGAGAACGACTTTTTAATGTGCAAATGTTTCCCTACAAGCCTAGCCGGACCGGCGCTCAGCTGGTTCAAGAACTTGCCTAGGAGCTCCATTGATAGCTTCCGAAACCTGTGCGATCAGTTCATAAGCCAGTACTATGGGAACAAGCGTCCGCCGAAGGACATCTCGAGCCTATTCACAATGAGACAGCACAAAGATGAACGTCTCCAGGCTTTTCTCACCAGGTTTAATCTCACTAAGAGTATGGTGATCGAATGCCACCCTTCTACAGCGGTTCAAGCCTTCAAGTTAGCCATAACACGTGGCACTCCGTTCCATACCAGTCTGGTAGTGAACACGCCGACGATTATGGATGAACTCAATGAAAGAGCCGATGGCTTTGTGCGCCTAAAAGAAGAGGAGGCAGCCAATGCTCGGACAGCGTCGGTCGTGTCGACCGAGGAAAAGTCCAAGGCAAAGATCAGGCAGAAGCAGGCTCAGCCGCAACGTCAGACCTCCTGGAAGGCAGAAAAGAGGCCCAGGGAGAAAGAGCTGATCACTCCGCTGAAGGTCACTCTGGCGAGACTATATCAAGAGAACAAAGATAAGTTTCATCCACCATTGCCAATTAGGCAACCCCTCGAACAGAGGGATCAGACTAAACATTGTGCTTTCCATTCCGATTTCGGTCATCAGACTAACGAATGTAGGAATTTGAGAAGGCAAGTGGAGATGTTGATAGCTAGAGGGGAGTTCGCGAGTTATGTTCAAGGCTCGGCGATAGAGCAGAATCATCCGATGGAGCAAGTAAAAAGGAGTCATAAACAAAGCTCCCACAATTCACAACCAGTTCGTATAATCAATGCTATCCACGGTCGACCCAAGCCCAGCGAAGATTCAGATGAGTTACTCCGAACGCGCCTACGACAGGCGCAGATGAAGAAAAGGGTCAGCAGTGTGAATACTCTGTACCAACAGATCACATCGATACAGATAAAGTTCGACAGAACAGACCTGCAGCGTGTTCAAGTCCCCCATGAAGACCCGTTGGTAATCAGCTTGACAGTGGCGGACTGCCTGGTGCGCAGAGTTTTGATCGATCCCAGAAGTAGTGCGAATGTCATGCCGAGGGACACATTTGATCGGCTCGAGATTAAACCAGAGAGGCTCAAGCCCACTGGAAACCCCCTGTTAGGATTTGATGGCAAGAGGGTGGAGCCCGTCGGAATGGTGGAAGTAGAAGTTCAAGCTGCAGAACGAGCTCTTATGGAAACTTTTGTGGTTGCGGAGATGCACCCCTCGTACAATCTCCTGATGGGAAGAGGATGGATTCACAGAGTCCAAGGTGTACCCTCAACTCTGCATCAGGTCATGAGGTGCCTCGGACCCGATGGAAATAAGGTGATAGATATTCGTGGGGATCAGGTTGCAGCCAAAGAGTGTTATTCCGTCACACTAAAATATGCTGGGAAAGGGAAGGCGCCCGTCCGTTCGGCGAGCCCCAGATAGCAATTACAGGAACCTCCACCCAAGCAGAATAGGTTGGAGGAGTCAGTTGACTTGACCGAAGAGCCCCTTCTGGATGTGCAGATCAATCAGTCCAGGCCAGAGCAAACTACCAGAGTAGGAGTAAGACTGAGAAG